TACTGCAAGCGCATATTTTCATTCATCCCTCTGACTTAATCCATTTACTACTAATTAAATTAATTGAAAAATTATTACGAAAAAATAAATAAATAAATGCATAATCAAATATTTGCTATAGAAATGGAAAGTTTTTTCACGATCATAAATAAATCTTTTGCATAAATATTGCACTTCTAAAATAGATTCTCACAATGACGCTATTTGAGAATAAATAATCAACGAAAATATGATAAATTGCAAATTTTAAGAAACGAATATGAACAAAAATTGATACTAAATTTTAAATAACTTATTTTTCAATTTTAGTACTAATATATTAAAGTTGTTATTAAGTTTTGGATTACTTATTTTTCAATTTCAGTACTGATACATTAAAAGAAATAAAGACATCGTTTGAAAGAAAGATTGCTCGCTCATAAATCGCAAGCAAAGTTTGTAAATACAAACATTCACATCAAACTTATTCATTAAATTTGTTTATTTTTGTAAATTTTTTGTAAAATATCCTCATAAATTTATGAAAAGCTTCAAAAAATATTCATATAACATTGCAGAAAATATTCAAAGCATTCAAAATTTAAGCTTTTATTCACAAAAAACAAATATATCATTTCTAAGCACAGAGTTTTTCGAAGCTAAATATTCAAGATTCTATTCGCAGACTGTCAGTAGAAGCCATTGTGTTTGCATTCTCGACCAATTTCACTTTTACTTATCTGTAGCGCTTTTTAAGCAATTCATATTGCCCTTTCTAAAGTCTGTGAATAGTTATCACTGATAAGAGAGATTCATCAGTGTGCTGTAAAAAAAAAAAAAAAAATTACTGTATACTTTTCATCTGAATTCAAAATACAAAAATAGTTAGCTATGAGAAATTGTATGACAAGAAAACGTTATTATACTTAGTAAATTACTTTTACAAAGTAATTCAATCATATAATTGATCAATTACATTTTGAAAGATTCATCAAACTCTTACTTTCTTTTATATTAATCAAATTAATGAAAAACGTTGCTCTTAATATCCTTCAACAATGAAACCACATTAATGCATGACTAGCTTTGCATAAATTTACAGCATTTGATAAGTAATACTAACTTGTATTATCAGATTGTATTCATAAATGCTAGATGAAAGTATTATTAAGTTGAGATTCTGAAGTCAATTTGCAATGTACGATATTTTCAAGAAAAGATTCAACTTGTTGAAAAATTTTTTCACGATTACATTTTTATTCCCTGTCATCAATATATATAATTTATTTAGCAACAATATCCTAGCTTGAACTTGAGGTCAACATCAAGCTATTTATGTTGCCTTTTGCTTTGTTTTCACCTGAACTTATACTAAATATCCATATTTAAGTAGTTCTCTTCAATCTAAAATTACTAATTCTTGGCAAAATTTTGGTTAAATTTAAGCTTAAACTTGTACTATATCATTTCTATTTTAAACAACACAAGTAAGCATATTTAAATGTCAAACTTTTAGGATTGTGAGGCAAAGCATTTTTTTAACTGTAATTTATTATTTATATTAAGTATTCAATATTGCAAGGACTAATAATTAAAAACAAAGAAACTCTCTTCTATGCATCATAGAAATTAATAACTGGATTAATATTAATTATATTCAGCAATTAATTTTATCCTTTAAATATTTACTAAAACATTTTTATGCTAATTATTGCGCTTGCTTTCGAATAATATTAAAAAATAAAAATATTTTGTAAAAATGTGCAAAATTCAATCGAAAATCATCAATTTATTATTTTTTATAATTAAATAAATTTAGAACTGATTTTTTTAAATTTTTTAAAAACGTGTAATTTATTCGCAAGCTTTCAAGTGTAAACTTGCTTAATTTTAA